CGATCCGCCTCTCCGATCGTCGGCGCGCGGTCCTCGGTAGCGCAGTCGGTAGCGTATCGGGCTACGGATCCGAGGGTCGTGAGTTCGAATCCTGGAAGCGCCGTGTGATTTCGGCTGGAATTGAATGATGTAGAATCTTGAATGTTTGCGTAATCAATTATTAATTGCTAATTGAATGTATCTGCGCACTAATCGGCCCCTAAAACCTGTTATTTAAGAAATTTAAGAAATGAATGTCACGTGCGCGTCACGACTGCCAACCATAAGCGCTACCATATTCTAGTTAGAACTAACTTTTTGCTAGTCCCGACCACATATAGTAGGTTTTCTAGTAGTTATACTAGAAATTCCTACCAAAGTTCGTCCTACCCTTCACTCAATATACCCTGGTTTTCACCGGCGTCCTAACTTTGGACTCTTATAGGATAGGGAGTCAGACCTCTTATAGGATGGTCTGACTCCCATCTGAGGACTCTGTAGGCTTTTCCAATTCTTATAGAATTTTCGGTAATTCAGTGGCGGACACCGAGGCTTCATCAGCTTGGGCTACCCAAGATACCTACCTATAAGCAGGGAGGCACCGGTTCTGACGTCACACGAAAATATCAGTCGGCTGGTTGTGGCACTGCCCCCTGCCGGCGCGACTGTGCTGCCACCTAGCTAAGCCTAGTCAGCCTAGGACGGGACGGTTTTATTTGTTCTCGTCTAGTGGTGCAGCTTGCGACGACACTCGGTCGACATAGCTGTGCTGCAACATACCCCAGGTTCGGAGTCTCTCGGACGGCCAATCCTGTTCCATAACCACAGCTAAATCCCCGCTGACCTTAACCAGGATTGGCCGGACGACGTTATATCTTCGTAGTTCGAGAGACACCGAACCCGGGGATAGTCTATCGAAGCCTTGGCGGCTGAAGAAAGGCTAGACATATCTCACTTGATTTTGGCGTGGCCAGCCTCACTTCTGTAGTTTTGCTTCACAGAATTCTGCGTCCTATTGAGTTTCCGGTTACGTAGTACACGACCACGTTCAGGAACTCGATGTTTTTTAGATACATCACGTAATGACAAACTTTTGGCAGCATTTACATTGGTTGCCTGCATATTTTGGTGAGGAAAAATCGCTATCGCAGTAGTACAGTCAAGACATACCACAAAGGATCAGAGCTAAAGCAGCATTATTAACCAAAAGTGTATTGCATTGATCACCAGCATGTTCGTAAAATAAAATACATCAGGAATAAAGATGACAACCAAGCCTCATGGACACTTATAACAAACATGAACGATAAAGTGGCAACACAAATGAAAGAGAGAAGATGAATCTGCCCTTCGCAATCGTCAACTTAAAATAAAACTTCAAATATACAACAACAGACCTCTGTGCATTAAAAGAACACGAATACACTCGCTTTGTCGTCGACACATAATGGGAACATCCTGGCGGCCCAGCCAAACAGCGCGCCCGCCTTCGAGTAGGAAATAGCAGCGGCCGCAGAAGTGGCCAACAGATAACTACCACATTGTTCGTCACGCCACCTGCACTGAAACGTAACAGCTATTTAATCGTGAAATGTAGCTATCCATCCAAAAATGCTGCACTACACCAGCACCACCGCACAGTTAGCAGATAGGTACGGAACGCAGGTCCTGGTCTCTGTCTCTTCCGAGTAGGGTCTCCGGACCGGTCACCAGCGCCACCATCTCCGCGCGGTAGCTAAAGCACAGCTCTCCGGCCGGGGCCCGCAGTTCCTCGGCCTCTTCGTCCAGCCTTGTCCTTGTTTTGACGTGAGTGAATGTGCAAATGTTTTGAATGATTAGATCAGCAGCCGCGGATACGGATTCTGAGCAGTAATCGCCACGCACTTTGTATGTGGATTGCTCTTAAATGTAAATACAAATACAAATACAAATACAGCCAGACCAGCACGGCTCCCGCCCAGCACCTGAAGACTCCGCCCTCCGCAGATCCGTACGTCCAAAGCCGGACAGCACACAGGGGCAGGAACGCGAGGTGCAGCGTAGCCACGCTTTCCCTTTCCGCCGCCGTGGCCCCAGCCCGGATCGGGCACACGTCCAACCGGAAGGTGACGCCAGCCTTCTGTTGACACGGTGGGATTCTCGCTCTCGCCCAGGCCTGGCGGCCTCGCAATCTCCAGCCTCGGACCGAAGACAGGCGCGCCGGTGCCGAGGCCTTGGCGGTCGCGCGCAGGGGGTCCCCTGATGGTAGAGCCAGCGCCCTCCCCAACAGCCTGGCAGCCAGCGTCCAGCTTCTCTCCTCCATCGGAGAAAGTCGGGCTTCCGCCATTAGTGCGTGGCACGGTGTTGAGCGCGGACACAGGTGATGATGCGGCCGCCTCTCGCAGTCCTCGCTCCAGAAGATTCACGTGCGAGGGGGCGGCCGCCGGCAGCCACGCGACGGCAGCGTGTTCGAGCGCCCCTCGGACGTAACCGATTGGCCACCGTACTAAGGGCACCCTCGTCCAGGCCCCAGCTATTCAACCAGGTCGACGGCGCCGTAGCCGTCACTCGAGCCACGCCACAGAGCTCACGCCTCAAAGCGGTTGGCTCTCCGGTCCTCGGCATCCGGCATCCGCAGTGATTTGGCGTAGCCAGGACAGGTGAGATGCCGGCCTCAGTCATAACCGGAAAGCCTGTAAAAAAAGCAATATGTGATTGACAAATGGAAATATATTGTAAGCATAGAGTTGAGAAATCACGACGCACTGCATTGTGACAGTAGATACTTAAGTGCGATTGGCAGAGGAGGGACTTATTGTAAGAAAACAATGAGCAATTGAGGCATTGATTTGGTTCTGTAGGTAGCTACCTACCCTTCACATATGAATGTGGATGATTTGTACCATTAAGAAAAACCATAGGCGTAGGAGCGGAGGGGGGGGGGGGGGCATGCCCCCACTTTTCAGCTATGCTAATTTTTAAAGTAAAATATTTATTTTTCATTTAAATTCAAAACTAAGAGCAAGAAATGGTTCGGCAAGGTGAGATGAGCACGAAACTGCAAAGAATTTGTTCATAGGGGTATTACGGTTCCCACAAAGTGATATTGAAGTTCTCTGCCCCCCCCAAACTTTACGTGACGTTCCTACGCCCATGGAAAAAACACATTGCATTATGTGCATCAACACTTAACCCTTGCACGAGGGCCACAAAGCCCACTATAAAGCCCACAAGACACCATCTGAAATCAAAGCATGACAAATGATAGCATGTAGGCACCTGACGGCTGACCTACTACATATAACCTACTGGACAAAACATACCACATATATCAATATGTATGTGCAGATAAAGTATGAATGCTAGGTTGATACCAAGGCTGTTTAGCAAGCTGTTTAGTAGGTTGTAGGTATGCTGAAAGGATGAAAGATGGGCATTTTTTCAAAAAAAAATCTGATCTACAGTTCATATGAACATGCAACATGGGGTTAGGTACCTAAGGTTTGATTTTTGTTTTGTACCAGACTGGAAATAATACACGTTATGCCTAATATGTCCGGCATAGTGGTGGGATTGCGCCGAAAATTTCAGCGCATGTCAGGCGTAGGTAACTTTGCATGCGCCGAATTCGGCACATGGCGGCAAACGCCATAGCCTTGATCGGTAGATGTGCACATGTGCTTTATATAAAAAGGGTTTAATTTTTGCACAAATAGGTACCTAATTTTTGGCGCAAATTACACAGAAATTTCAGTGTCTGAGTACCCACCTTCCTGTCAAGTTGATACTTGACACACCATCCTGCTATCTGAGGCGGCACAGGAACCAGCTCAGGCAATTACAATGAAAGTCAACAGTCGTGCAGGAATTACACCAGTCACTCCCCATTAAAATCTGATATCAAGTAATTAGTTAATGACGATAATCCCGCCACCACAAATCTTATGAAACACATCAACATTGACCTTTGATATTCCGAAAAGAAATACCCATCATGATTAAAAGCGAACGTGTTCTTACGCAGCTGTGACATAAGCTGAGCATACGAAAAACACCAGCTAGACCAATTGATGGCGAATAAACCTGTTGATGAAGAAATACTTGTCTCCCATTGGTCTGTGAACACAATCTGCAGGAAACGCAGCTTAAACTACAGTAAAATTTTGCAGGAAATTCTGCAGAAAGTAAGAAAAATGCAATTTAAACATATTTAGCCAATGAGTCTGGCCAATCTGTTGATATATTCCGATAGATATTGAGCACGATCAGTCATTTTGAAAGAATTACGGTCCGACTCTCTTTATTTTTAAAGCAATGACGCATAATATGATTATTGAAAAATTGACAAATATATTTTCTTGGAGGGAAAAGTGGGACTAGCGTTAAGTTAAAAATCAAAATTAATACACTGATCGAGACCTCGCTTTCAAAAGTATATATCAGTGCATTTTCGCATCGAATCTCTCTCAATCATGAACAAACTTGGGCAAAAACAGCAAGATTGCCTGTTTTGTCAATTCACACATTTTCATATTTGGGGGCAATTTTTAAGTTGATGGCCAATGTTTTCAAAGTCAACATTTCCACAGGAAGAAATACAGCTATTTTTCTTCCAAATTCATTCATTTGTAGAGTCCGACTCTCTCTTGTTTTCTCGCAGTTTCCGTTGTGATTTGAGAGAAACGATCATGTGTATCATAAGCGTTTGGCTCACTTCAAGACGGCAGAATTTGCACTTGCATTTTCTGCCGTGTGGAAGACCAGAGGGAGTCAACTAATTTATGACAGAATGTGCTTAAAAAATGACTGGTGAATAATATCTTTTGTCAGTGCCTGACAAATATTTATATTTTAAATCACGCTCTTCAGCTGTCAAGTGAGCTCCAAATGGCCTAAATTGTCAGCTGTTTATCATCCTAGGTCAGCTCAAGGTCACAGACGTCAGCTGAAGAAAGTGGTGACCATTGGTCCTGTGTTGAGCGGACAAACCGGTGTTACCTAGTATTCTATGTACCGTGCCTATAAGGGCTACCCACGGTAGAGGGCTACCTCTTCCGAACGGTCACCGATGTTTTCTCATCGGTGTTCTCTGCGGACTTGGACGTTGTAGGCGGGTTGGGTTGGTTCTCTCTCTATATTTTTCAAAGTCTTTGTGATTTTCTTGCTATGTATATCTTGCTATAGGAACCTTTATTAATAGCTATCAGATTTTCGGTAAGTGCAACAGCATATAGGGCCTTGAGTGCAACTTTTTTTATAAACTTAGTCCAAATTTTTTATTGGAAGGATTCACAAGGACAGCCCCCTCTAAATGAAGCTTATTGCATTGTGATTGACCGGGACCCTGTCTCCTACCCTCTGATCGTGCAATTCCAGTTCTATGGCAGAACCACGGAATTTATAGTCACGACACTGTCGTAGACTATATATTCCGTGGCAGAACTATTTGCCGAACTTAGAGTTCAAAGTTAAAGTGTGCACATCAGCGCGGCACGCACGGCTGGTCCCCTCACTGAATTCGCCTGGCTATGGCCTGCCACCAACAGCAACCATACCTGTCAGGAGGCCCTTAGGCTTAAACGCCAACTTGGTGTTTGCCAAGCGCCCGTTGTGCTTCAAAGTTCTAACCTAGACTGTTGTAACTGGGAGCTCGTGCAGCACATGCTCTCACCATGCGGAGTTCAACGCTCTACCGACTGAGCAACGGAACTGGCATTTAAATCCAAGCAGGCTTTCAAACACATCCTTAAATGCTTGAAAAGCAAGGTTGGCATGGTAATGAATAATAACCCTTTGCTCATAGCTAAAAGAAACCAAAGGCAAATCCAAAATATATTTTTGGTGCTGAACCCTCTTCAGATTGTCTTGATGACCTTCTAGAAGAAGTTCCAGCACCAAAAATGCATTTTGAATTTGTTTTTGGCATCCTTTAACTATGAGCAAAGGTTAGGTATTATTCATTCTTATCACAAAAGTAAATAGCTCTGCTGAACTGCACAATGGTAGGTATATCAAGTCAACAATACAAGTTACGATTCAGCAACGTGATGTCAATATAAAGGATTTCAATCTCTGTTTATCATATTGAAATTATTTCAGGTCAGGGTAATCACTGATTAGGGAATAAGAATCTCTCAAAAATGATTTGAATGCTTGGGAATGGGAAAGTACCTGCTTAGCACCTACCAACTGTGAAATTGACATGCTTCTATTCTATTTCAGTTAAACGATGTATCTCAATTTGATATTCTGGTATTTTCTATCTCTTGCTATTGTAGTAACCATTGTTGGCTTTGTGGTAAATTCTGGCAATGCTCCAGGCCTCTTTGTAAGGCTGTTTATGTATGGAAAGACATCCGTAGAACGGACTGCTGGGCTTATTCAAGTTCCTAAGCGGTAAGTTTAGAAGTTTTATGTGTATCTACAAATAGTAAATATGGGTTGAGTCTATTTAGAAAGATACATTGCCTAATATTTGCATGTGTTGCTTGATTTGATGTATATTTTTGCAGTTTCTTCCTGCATAAGTATTCCAGTCAGCTGAGTTACTTGCCAATAATGTTTACATGAGTATTATTGGGAGCCCATCTGATCAGTTGTTTATACTTGATCATGACCAGACGAAGCGACTGAGCTCTGCATCTGTTGATGCTGTCTGTGCCTGGTGCCCCTAGGTGGTTCCTGCACTTCTACCTGGTGGGCTCGATGGAGGTGACCTTTGTGATGGCCCAGGTGATCCAGGTGAACGTGGTGGGCCGGGCGGCGCCGGCCTGGCTGCGCCACCTGCTGGCCACGCTCACCGACTGCCACGCGCCCTCCTGCTCGCCAGAGTCGGTGGTGCTGGCTACCTGCCTGCTCACTGCTCAGATCTACCGGCGGTGAGTGACGAGTGTCACCCCGGGGAATGAAAATCCACCGGGAAAAGCTGCTCTCGGGAAAACCCGGCGGAAGACAAGCTACTCACGGGTCTCCTGTCAGCAGTTCTCCCGAGGCATGCACAGCATTACGCTTTGCTGAAACGTTCTCCACCCGATCCAAGGCTGTGAGATCTGACCTGGCCTGTGGTATGCCACGCTGCAAATATCGTTTATGAGTACTAGTTAATGAGTACTAGTCTGCTGTCCTTTCCATACCTGAACGCAGTTGACCTGCCGCGCTCTTTGTCAGATTGTACGAGCACCTCTTCGTGCACGTACCGTCCGACACGCGGATGAACGTCCTGCACTACTGGGTGGGAGTACTGCACTACGTCCTGGGCGTGATCGCCGTGGTAGCCGAGGCGCCCGGCTTTGTACTCGATGGTGAGTATCCAAGAGTATGGAGGCTCTGTCGTGGAGTGTGGAGTGGGCTTCAACAGGGTTTTGCTGAAGGTGTGGGGAAATGAGCTGCACTGCAGATCCAGTGCAGTGCGTTGTCTGTATTATGTTGCCTCATACGGTGTACTATCCACTATACATTGAATATTTCCGATCGTTTCTGCCCATGCTGTGATGCTCCGCCGACTGATCGTCTCCGGCCGTCTGTTCTCTCCAGACAGCAGCCGATGGCTGATCAACGTGACCAAGCTGAGCTGGCTGGACCGGATCTGCGGCGCGGTGTTCATGCTCGCCTGGCTCCACCAGTACCGTGCCAACTGCATCTTCGCTGACCTCAGGAAGAACTCGTCAGGTAAGGCCGGGGCCGTTGACAGTGCGGTCGGGCTAACGGCACTAACGATAGTCAGTACTTACATATACCGCTGAAGGCGCTAACAGAGGACAGTATTTGACAGATGACGCCAATGAAAGGTGTTGTCCGGATCGGGCAGTGTGTAAGCTGAGCTTCTTCGACATGGGGCTGGGCATTTGGGACACCGTAACCGTATTTTGTCAAAAATTGTCGCTGGCGTGATTTTTTTCCGATACAAAGCTCAATTCATTCAGCGACAGTAGACCGAAAAGGTGCAAAACTGATTACAATCACTATTTACTGAGTTGGGTTATACAATACACGTTTTGAGATAAAATCATTTGCGGCACCTATTTTTGCGATGATTGTTGTTTTCTCCACACGTTCGTCATGTGCTATATGCGGTCCTCACCCCCCCCCCTCCCTCCACCGTCCCGCAGGAGCCGTGGTGAACCGCGGCCACGCGGTGCCCAGGGGCGACTGGTTCGAGTACGTCTCGTGCCCGCACTATCTGGCCGAGGTGGTGATGTACTCGTGTCTGACGGTCATTCTGGGGCCGCGTCACTTCACCTGGCTGGCCGTGTGGCTGTGGGTCGTCGCCAATCAGGTACGTCTATCACCCGTTTGGAAAGGGGGGATTGTTGGGGATCGGGGCTCTGCCATGTGGAGTGGATGTAAGTGTGTAAGTGTGTGTAAGTTCTTTGTCTTGTATGTTTTTTTCCCATCGTATACACTACACAGCACTATGCCGTTCATTGCTTTAGTCATTGTTAGAGAATATCGCTCTAATGACCAATCAACAAGCCTTGATACAATGGTGTGATTCTGTGAAATTAGCGCATTGTAGCACAGCTGGCTGCCAGTGCTGTCCGCAGATGCACAATTCCATCGACCATCAGTTAATGTTAACTTCATACCGGTCTTCTTATGTTAAACGGCCGAACCTAGTTACTCCGCCCAAATCCATCAGTACCAGATCCATGCCGATCGCCATTTATAAAACCGCTGAGATTAAATCAACCACCAACCTGCCCAAACCAGACCCATGATTTTCAGTACCTACTGCCGGCATTGAACGCCATCAGTTCATCAGCTCCAGCTCAGGCGATGCCAGGTCCTGTCGAAGTCACTGGCCCCGCTTACAGCTGCTACACCCTCGTCGAAAAAGACGTCTGATTGAACAGTAACGGCTCACGTTTTTGCGGACCAGTTTCCGGATACTTTGGTGGCAGCTTCTGTCTCGCCTAGTTTTTGTAGGTGTTTTCCAAAGCGTAATGACATGTCGCTGCTTATCATCACTGATCTGATTGGGTTCTGGACATGTGATTGTTTCTAGCGTACCTTGCACATCTAATGATCATTGTCTTGCGACTTATCGGATCATAGATGGAAAATTGTGCCAAACTGGGGGTGCCCGGATGCAGCAAATCCGCCGCCGCCCTAGCGGTGACCTTGACCTCTGCCGTCCGTTGCGGCTCCAAAAGCCAAGCTGGCGTGGAATTGGGACAGCTCGAGCACCCCCAGTCCAGCACAATTCTCCACCTATGTATCGGATGCTTCGTGTGTATGCCAAACCGATTTCTAAGTAGACCTCGTCGACGTCGTTTCTAAGTTTCGTTTTCTTCCTGATCGGGATGAGGGCTTCGATTACGTTTGAAGTCCGGGTGTCAGTTTGTATGAACACCAAACGTTGTTTACGACAAGCCTTTGCCCTCTCGATCGCTACGCTGAAAAGTCTCAGGGTAGATACAATTGTATTATCCACTGTATTTCATTATCAGTTCCTATCTAAGACCACTGGTTAAGCATTCAAATTGAAGGCATGTGTAGATGATTCAACTCACAATTAACCTGCTGCATGCGTGACTAATATTTTTACACTCGCTAGATCACAGATAACAGTAGTACTACTGTTATCTGTGGCTAGATGTAATGTCACTGTAACGTTTCATGCCCAAGCAGCGCTAAAATAACTTTGTCGATATTTTATACCTCGTGCGATATAGCGGTGAATGCCTTAAATTTATGTCTGTCGGAAAATACAAGCCAGCACTCCTGCTCAATGACTCGATCGCACGATAGCGTATGACGTCTAATGCATGTTCCACGCTTCGCGAACCTGTCTTTTCCATTGTGGGCAGTGTTAGCAGACAGCCACCTGAATCATTGAGATTCAAAACAACTCCACCGTTTAAAGCATGCCTCTTTCAGTTGGACCTAAAACCGGCCACCCGCTGGCCGCGTCTTTTGGTACGTACGTGAGTGTCCACAACTTCCCGGATTGGAGAACCTTTCATCGACTTCCTCGGTCACGTAAGTTGTTCTAGTCGTTTCGACGCCGACCCGGTCCGCTAGAACTCGAAGTCGGGTAGGTCGTCCCGGCCGGGACACAAGAACTGAACGGTGCGCTGCATCTCGTACGCCTGGAAGATGCCCCGCTGCATCAGGCGTCGGACGATCTGTTTGGCCTCCGGCTCGGGGAACTTGGGCTGCCGCGTGAGCAGCCAGAGGAACTCCTTGTGCGTCAGGTTTCCCACCTGCGGCGTGCAGCTGTAGACCACGGCGTAGCGCTGGTAGTCCACCTCGATGACGTTGTAGTTGGCCTGGTCGGTGTCGGGCGCCTCTGGGAAGCCGACGGCCAGTGCGCCCACAGTGGTCTCGTTGGTGGGCACCGCGTACCCGTAGATGGTGATGGGATGGTTGAAGAGGTAGCCGGTGTTGGTGACCGAGATGAAGCCGCCCAGGTCGTCACTGTAGCGTGCCGTCACGCACTTTTGGCCCAGCTGGAATATCGCCTGCAGCTTGCGGTTCTCGTACCAGAGGCCGCTGTAAGCGGTGAGGTTGAAGTCGGTGACGGGCCCGATGTCGGGACAGGGGCCGATGCGGATCTTCTGCGCCGCCGCCCCGGCTGCCAGCAGCAGCAGTGGCAGCGGCAGCAGCAGCAGCAGGGGCTGCCGCGGGGACAAAGACTGGCACTCGGCCATGGCGGCGGGCGGGGCGGTCCGGGCAGGGGCGGAGTCGACCGGCCGGGGCGGCGGCAGGGGGTGGACTGACCCGGCAGCTCTGCCCTCTCGGTGACGGCGTCCCCAGGACCGTCCGTGCCGGCCGGATCGCCCCCGAACGGGCCGGTTCGGCTGGTCATCTGATAACCCCGCCAAAAAGTGGCCTCTCGACCCGTCGCGCTGCCCAGGGGCAGAACTTTAGGCAGAAAAACTCGAGCGTCGTCGGCGCGTCCGACCAGTCCTCTGACGAAACGCCGTCCGATCGACGACTGGCATTGAGTTCCCCGCTGGTCACATTGCCCCAACAGACGGTAAATAACTTTTGAAAATACCAATTTCCAATTTTAGTGTTTTCTGGACCAAAATTTTGCGAGGAATCCGATGGTGTGGTCCCCGAAATCTGAAAAATTTCCATTTTGGAGATAGCACCTATTTTTTTTGAAAAATAAATATTCGTCAGGCTTAACCCTCGCATGTGTGCGGCGTTTGCCAGCTTCTAATGTGTAGGGGGGGGGGGGGGTCGGTTGGACCCCCCCCTTGCCGTTTGGCCCCTGATCGAGCTAGAGCTTCGCGGGAAAAACGAGCGTGTTGCCTGTGACGAGAGGAAGCCGATGATACCCAATTTTAAGGTCCTAGGTCATTGGTTGACCTTCCAGGTCAGGTCAATGACCCAAAGTCGGGAAAATCGGGACCTGTTAGAAAGTCGTAAAGTGTGGCTGCTAAGGGGTTTTTCGGGGTGCTGATCACGAATATCGTGTTAGTTTTGATCACAGATGATGTCTTGAAGCATTTAGACCAGGTCGGGTCAGGTCAGGTCAGGTCAACCAGTAGGCGTCGTGACGGGTATTCGTAGTACGTGTCAACCGCCTCTGACAGCTTCGTAACATGTTACGAAGTCACCAAAACTACTTCGTAAATGTTCAAATGGTTGCTAAATTCGAATTCAGCTCCAAAAACTAGCCTAGAAACATGTAAAACTCGAAAAAGTGACCCTAGGTCACCCGAGGTCACCAAAGGTCAATGACCTGACCTGACCTTCAGGTGACCTTGACACACACGGGAGTAACATCAAATCACATGTTTGAACGTTTGAAACCACGAAAAGCTTGCAAACACGCGGCTAGTGCGAGCCGACATACGCGAAATCGCGATTCCGGCCAAACATAGTCTCGGAAAAGAGGTCACAGGTCAAAGGTCATTTGGGTCAGGGTCATGAAATTTTCAGGGTAGGTGTCAAATTGATCAATGCGAGGGTACTGAAAGTTTCGTTGCGATCGGCCGCTTTTTACGCGAGTTATTCGCGAAAAACCATGGGGGGGGTCCATCCGACCCCCCCCCCCCCTACACATGCGAGGGTTAATAGTAAAATAAATTGGAAATATAATGAGTTAATTTTTGTAACAACACTAGAATGTGTCGAACATGAATTAGAGATATATTTTAGCTGAGATGATACTATATCTGCGCATACATGTACATGAACTAGTACATTAACCCTCGTCGGCCGAGAAGGGGTGGGGCGGGTGCCGGCCTAATAGGGCTTTTCGCGATAGCTTAAAACTCGCTTAGGGCAGACAGCAGAAACTTGGCATACCTAATCTTTTATTCAAGCTGGATCTTTTGACCTCAACTGCGTTTTCAGGTCAGGTCAGGTCACTGACCTATGACGTCATAAATGAGCCTCTGCACGGTCCTCAGAAGTTGCAACTTTGCAACGCCCTCAGTGCCAGAGGAACTTTCACAGGAAGATGAAACTTGCAGGACCTAGTATCCTTTAGAGGTCTCACAACTTGTATATCTTAGATTTTTCCCAAATGTCACATGAGGTCAGTTCGGTCACGTGACCTCACCATAATAAGTCAATGGGGGAAATATGAAAACTGTTATTTTGGCGCCGGAAATGATCTAAAACTGTCCCAAGCACATGAAATCGTGGTTTCATGTACTTTTTGTAAGGTCCGATCATGAAACCACGATTTCATGTGCTTGGGATAGTTTTAGATCATTACCGGCGCCAAAATAACAGTTTTCGTATTTCCCCCATTGACTTATAATGGTGAGGTCACGTGACCGACCTGACCTCATGTGACATTTAGGTTAAATCCGAGATATACAAGTTGTGAGACCTCTGAAGGATACTACGTCCTGTAAGTTTCATCTTCCTGTAAAAGTTCCTCTGGCACTGAGGGCGTTGCAAAGTTGCAACATCTGAGGACCTCGCAGAGGCTCATTTATGACGTCATAGGTCAGTGACCTGACCTGAACTGAAAACGCAGTTGAGGTCAAAAGATCCAGCTTGAATAAAAGATTAGGTATGCCAAGTTTCAGCTGTCTACCCTAAGCGAGTTTTAAGCTATCGCGAAAAGCCCTATTAGGCGGCACCCGCCCCACCCCTTCTCGGCCGACGAGGGTTAATGTACTAGTTCATGTACATGTATGCGCAGATATAGTATCATCTCAGCTAAAATATATCTCTAATTCATGTTCGACACATTCTAGTGTTGTTACAAAAATTAACTCATTATATTTCCAATTTATTTGACTATTAAGCCTGACGAATATTTGTTTTTCAAAAAATAGGTGCTATCTCCAAAATGGAAATTTTTCAGATTTCGGGGACCACACCATCGGATTCCTCGCAAAATTATGGTCCAGAAAACACTAAAATTGGAAATTGGTATTTTCAAAAGTTATTTACCGTCTGTTGGGGCAATGTGTGGTGCTGGTGCAGTGCTCGGACCCGGTTATTTATTACCGTTATTACCCCTGATCCTAGTATGTATATCAGCGCCGGGCCAACTACTGCTGATGCAGCCATTCTGTGTTCGGCAGGTCAGCACCGCCGTCATGTCTCACCAGTGGTACAAACAGAAGTTCGACGACTACCCGAAGCAGCGGCGTGCCATCTTCCCCTACCTGCTATAGAGGGCCAGCCGTCGCGCTATGGTGCGCCGGAGGCGGACGCGTGATATCGCGGGTTGGGAAGCGAGATGAAAATAGCGCAGAAAACAGGAGATTGTCAGCTATAATCAAAAGAATGGAGCATTCGCTCGCCATACACTAGATTTAATAAAACTAAAAAAACAACGGCTCACGAAATCGCTCGCGTATTTTCTCGTGATGCGATGTGCTGATTATGGTTGCTGCGTGATAAGGTCAATGGATGCTGTTAAATGTATACACTAGAGTTGCAAAGTTTTCCCAATGGGCTGCTACCGGCACCGCCCCGCCCCACAAAAATTTTCTGGGATACCGGCATGCTACCACGCCCCAAGCAAAAAAACCGCCAAATTACCGGCATACTAAAAAACCTGCATTCTTGATTCTGGCTTACCCCTACATGAGATGCCACATTTTGGCAATTTCAGTAACCGCCCCACCCAACAGCCACCCATTGTCCAACTTATTACAATTCAATAGCCTCTTACTCTTAGTGTCCAAAGTTTGAATCATATGCTGATAATTTTTTGTGCAAAATCAAAAATACCGGCATGCTACCGGCAAGACATGCCAGATACCACGAAAAAACCTGCGGTAGTGAAAAATTACCGGCATGCCGGTAGTGCGGTAGGGAAATTTTGCAACTCTAGTATACACGAACGTCTTTGATGAGAGCACAATTGCTGTTAGTTGTTGATGTTGCAATTTGCAAAAGCAGGTACCCTGAGATGTTGTGACAGTGCAGCTGTTGGTATGGTGTGTTACACTTGCAGGTATCGCGGGGTTGTCCCCACACTCGACGGAGTTTTCCCGTGGCCTGAGAATATTTTCATGAGCGAGAGGGGCCGCTGCAGGGAGTGCCAGTACCACGCCCACCACGTCTACCCTTACCCCCAGAGAAAGAATTGTGCGTGTTTATTCCGGCCTGAATTAATGCGTATCCGTTTGTACCGTGAAATCATGAAATCATGTTACTGCTGGTCGCCAAATGTTGTTCAAACCTGTGATAGTGCGGCCTGAAAATGGTTTGTACGTTACCGGAAAATCCATGACTTTTTGACATGTATTTTGTAGGACATTTTTTGTTAGTACTTATTGGTTATTTCTAATAGCCATATTAAGTCATGCTACCAATTTACCATTTAGTCGATGTTGTGATGTTGCTCGAGTTTGGACCACCGTTTGTTATCAAATTTCTAGTCTTGTTATTTACTCAGATATTTGTAGATCGTTCGTTTTTCGATTTTCGGACGAGTCATAGTTTATTCCCAGAGTGGGTTGAATTTCGTACACTTCTGTAATAAACGTGTTGGTTTCTATAAGCGCACAATGTGTTTGTTGTGAAAAATATAACCACCTCGTCTCTATGGGGTCTAACACGCAATAGACGTCCTGTTGGAAGTCATATTTGTCCGTATTTATATGATATTGTGTCGGCACTTGAAATCCAGCGCCGCTGTCATCGATCACCAATACCGCATCCAGCCGTCTGCTATATCGCCGGACAGTCGCCTCGATCCTTCCTCGTCAAATACCACAAGCCTGGCGTAGCACCAATCCTTCCGGCCAATAACCGTGATACGCCTGCCGGCGCCTCTTTCGGCACTAAGGTATTAGCGACTTCGTTGAGACGTCCACCGTCTCTTTCCCTTTTCATTGCAACTCCATCTTTTTCCAGATATATTACGACAGGAACAGTGAAGGATCTCAGTACCAGGTTTATTGTGGAAAACGCTCGCCCACCCCGTGATTCGCACACTTTTGTGACACCGACCTCAGACCCTGCCACACCAATGTAGTGCACTCGGCCCCAGTTGACCGACGGTCGCGAACACCTCGCCGCCACACGACTCGGAGGACACACAGAGGACAAAACAACCACAGTAATTTAAAACCCAGGCGGACAAGAGGCACACGGACACCCTCCCAGCCCCCGCGGCGGCGGCGCCAATCACAACCGGAATGTCAGCCAGAGCGGCCCGGCCGGCTGCCCCGCGCCGCGCTGGCCGGCCGGCTGCCCCGCGCCGCGACAAATACCAACAAAACAACAACCGTACCCAGATCGGGCTGGTGCAGATGCGCCGCGTCAGCCTTCCCCGCCCTGCGCCCCATATAATTAACCGGGACGTCAATTTCCACCCCCCACCCCTTCAAACATAACCCATACTTGACTGTTATGCCATGCTACCACTGACAGCAGCATGGCAGCGGCAGGATAAAACTGAACTCCAAGCGCGCCGGTCCGCAGTATCCTGGTTGGTCTGATAGGACAGCCGGGCTGGGTGCACCACTCCCTGCTGATCTGAGCAGGTGACCGTCAGACTTCTAGTGGGTCTGGCTGTACCGATGACTTCTAGCGACTGCCAACCGCGGCAGGTGACAGCTGCTGCTGCCAGAGCCGGCGCAGCCTGTAGAGCCGATTTAGGGACCGACCTAGTGTATCAAGAAGCTGAAACGCACGAGAAGTTCGATCAAAATCATACTCGCTCGAGCTAAGCATACAGACTGCCCTGACCGCAAGACACACCACGGGCATTTATATTTTCGGCATCGTGAAGTTGCTAGTGCTGCCACTGTCTTCTAAACGTCCGTACCCTAACCCTGTTAACCCTCCCTAAGCCTGCCCGTGGAATTTACCTGTACGGGTAGCCGCCGGTCTTGGAACGGAAGATGGACAACACGAGGCTGAAGAACAGGGCCAGCATCGCCAGGCCGACGATGGCCATGATGCGACGCTTCTTGACGTCCGTCTTGGTGCTGGCCGCCTCGATCATTAGAATCTGAAACGCAGCGTTTGGTTACGCCGGTTCATACTGCGACTCTGTCGCAGTACCTATGACTAAGTTCGCCTTGGCATGCTTCAGAGCGTCGAAATCAAATCCCTGCTTCTGCTTCATCGATGAAAAAGGTTATCAATGGATCACGAAGCCAGGACGTTCTAGTGAACTTTAAATCGTAATCGTCGAAGTCCACGATAGATCAGCTTAACAAATGTCCGCGATAGATCAGCTTAACAAATGACAGCCCCAGCTATGTGCGAAATGAAACGACAAAGAGCCGGCTGACCTACGTTGTAACATGGACTTTACTGCGTTCCATTCAGTAGCGGCGGAACACCTTCAATTAAGGGGGGGGGGGGGGGCACTGCCGACTTTTGGTCCCATTCTTTCCATGCAACGCCCATAGGGCTAATGTTAAAATGCCAAAATCAAAGGGGGGCACGGTGCCCCGGTGCCCTTCCCGTTCCGCCGCCTATTGTTCCATTTCTGGACCCTGACATCCCGCCCTCTGCTCGCGATATCAGATCCCGATGCCGCCGCAGCTGTCACCCGCGTCTGCGCCGCCGGGCTCACCATGCCGCTGACGGAGAGGGCGCTGAGCACGATGATGATGTACGTCTCCACCACCAGCTGGGACTGCGAGCCGCCGGCGATGTACGACACGCCGCCGTTGCGCGACTTTTGCATGAACGGCGGCCCGCGGATGTGGTTCCACATCTGGCCCGACGTCATCGAGAACGTGAAGAACTGTGGCGGTAGGGGTGGGTGGGGTCACACACAGGCGAAGGAGGGTGAGCGGTGGCGCGATGACACATATGTGTATGAACTTGGAAGCCAATGAATTTTTAATTGAGGGAGCATGCACGGGAGTGAGATGGTGAGAAAAGGAGTCAATGAATGTAGCAGCTGATTGCACGGTAACTGCCATATAGTAAAGGACGTCCCCCACTGACCCTTTACTGTCCTCTTTTAATGCACTACACATTCCTTGCTACCACCCCACAACCCAGAAGGGCAAGCAATGCGCCGCCACGGCCCTCCCTCGTCCTGCGGGGCCGGAGCGTCGGCGTCTCACCAGCGCCATCACGGCCCACATGGTCTTGTTGTAGAGGAACTCGAGGTTGTTGCGGCGCAGGTAGAGCAGGAAGCCGAACAGCGCCATCAGCAGCAGCAGGCCGGCCGTGCCCGCGTAGTTGGGCGGCCGGATAACACGGATCTGACGCGGACACCGGCCGACGGTCAGTCACGGGGGACGGCGGCCACGCACAGCGAGCGACGAAACCGTGAATCGGATACAATCGGTACCTTTGGTCCCAGAAACGGAGACAGGCGTGACTGCGTACCTAATCGGCGCACATTCCGGTACATGAGTCGCCGATTAGAATCAACGTGAGACAAAAGAATACGAGACTCGTAACACTATCCGAATTAGCTCACGTACCCGCAAACACATGGCGAGCCTCCACTGTCCACTGTCCAGCCCGTCTGACACCCTTTCCCCGCCCCGACGCGGTGCCGCCCCGGGTCACTGACCTGAACGTCGGTCATCGTCTCGACCCACTTGGCGATGATCTCTGCCGAGATGCCCGTCCGCTGAATGTCCATCACGTCTGTCTTGCGGTAGTTGCCCTTGGCCGGGAAGTGGATGAACATGGGTGCCGTGTTGATCTTCAGCTGAAGACCGCAAACGAGTGGCATGGTCGGGACTCGGCCGTATTGACTGTTTTCAACTTCATTTTAATGGTGGTTTTAGTGTGTGACGCTCAATTTCACGTTCAATTATAGTGATGTGGATCGTTTATTGCTTCAAACGGCTCATCGGAAACCTTAACCACTAATTGTCAACAATTATTCGGGAGCGATTAATTGCCATGATATCTTTTTGGTGGGACCTCGGTCCTGTCTGACCTTTGGCCAACTCTTACTTCTTGTGTCTTGACTACCTCAGCCCCCTAGAACTTACCGACTGGAACACGTCAGAGCCCTTGTCGAAGTCGACCATGGTGAAGAAGACATTGTTCGGGTAGGACTTGGAGTACCGGTGAGAGGTGGCAGTGATCATATATTCATCATGTGCCTCACTGCAAAATTCAGGGAGAGGGCATGAGATAGAGTGAGTGAGCTGTCACATTTGTGGCAAGTAAATGAATGCTACACAAATGTAATTATAGCATGTGTTGAGGCAAAGACAAAATACGCCCGGTTATATATGACAAGATATAACCGGTTTTTCCGCGACACAACGAGCGTCTTCTTTGGGGCGGCCCCGGAGCCGGGCCGGCCTCTGCGAGCAGCGTTCGGCGGCAGGCGGGCGGCCGCCTCCGCCCCCGGGCGGCAAGGCCGCTAAGGCGGCGGCCTCATCTGATTGGTGGAGCGACTTGTGTCACGTGACGGTGACGGCGCGGGGTTTGAGTGCATTTGCGCGGTCACTCTGTTCTAAGCCGCCCGGTCTGACGCAAGTCAGCAGTGTTCTCGCTCTGAAATGTTTTTGCGTTTTACTGCGGTCGTGTTCAGTGGAAGCTGGAAGACATCAAGGGGAGTATAAGTTCGGTTTTATATCAATGTTATATTGATTGACGAGCATGTTTTTTTCCTTTCGTTTTTTTTTTGTTTATTTTTTACTGGTTTATTGTTTCTGTCTTATTTTTTCGTTTTCGGCATGAGGTCTGGTTTTTTGTGTTTATGTTATACTATCACGGTAAGAAGAGGGTCGATGAGCAATGGGTCGGCAAATACCCGGTATTATAGGTTCTTTGAAGGTTAGATGAAACAACGAAACTTGGACTGCTGGTAGAAATAGGCTTGGTGTGTTCTTCAGATTTTGGGAGATTGGGTGTAGGTATTTGCTAGGTGTAACATAGCTGTAACTGTTTTTTGTTTCTTCCCTGGAACGGAGCGCCGGACTTTGCCATTCTACACTCCGTGTGAGTGGAATCAGCTCATGCTTTCTCGGTGTAGCAGCTCAGAGTGCACGGCCTGGCCGGCGTAGGGTTTGGTGGCCACGTGGTATTGGCCGGTGTTTGCGCAGAGAGTTGGTATAATTGCCGTTTTGTGGTGCCTGGTGTTGGTTGAACTGTGGTTCCCATACAGGTGAACGGTTACTGGCGTAAGGTGTGCCAGGTGGGCGTACCCCGTGGAAAATGAGCTGCTGGTGATGTTGGCTCTGTCCGAGCGTGTCCGAGCGGGGTTTCCATTAGTGGTTTAGGGATTGTTGATAACAAGGGTACCAACTACCGGGTGAGACTTGAGAGGGTAAATGGAGTTCATGCTAAGGATAACCAATGCAATGGTATTGGTCTAAGTTGGTATTGTTATCTGGTGTTGATAGGTTGGAATGAAAGGTTTAGTGGGTGATACATGGAGGTACAGAGGTGATACAGTGGAACCCAGTTTGGGTGTGATAAGTCTCGGCGGACTAGGATATTATGGATTAGATGGGGAATTATGTAAGATGGTTTTGGGATGCATTAGCGATAGCATAGTAAGTTACAGGCTATTACCCAGAGGAAGTTTGCACACCCATGTTTAAAGGCTGCCGTAGGTAGGCATGCCATTTTCTAGGATGCAATTTTAGGGTAGCCCATGATTGTGTGGCTCTCACTCTGCATTGAGGTACGAGTGAACTGTGTTTCGTTTTTTTATGGTAGTGGCGTTTGTAAATAGTTTTTTTTTTTTGCCAGAGTGAGGTGCCTTTCTTGTCGTTGGTCAATAGAGCCTTGCCTAGACATGCATAAGCGACAATCATCATAGTAATATTGGTATGCAATATGCATATCCTGCCGATATGTCATCACACGCATTGTGAGTTAAATGGCCCCGGTATATATAACCCCCTTTTGATACGAGATTTCGGCTAAAAATGGTTGTGACACAATCTGTTTTTTTCTTCTTCTTCCATGGCTTGGTGGTTGGCATCCGACTCTGAACGGCGACGGATCGGCACACTCGGCGGGGCCGGCCCGCTTTACCAGAGTCTTCTCTGGCCGCTGAAGGATTCCTTCACAGCTCCTGTGTCAGCTGAGGGAGTTCCGACCCCTCCCAGCTCATCTAGCTCCAGTGGTGCTGCCTAGCAGGTCTTACGGGACATCGTCAGGTATAGGCCAAGGTGGCCGGGGTTTTGAAAGGTACGTTATTCCATGTACGGGGCCCGGTACATATCTGTTAATGAAGGTTCTAGGGGACCCGATAGGGTGGATTGTGGACGCTTGGGCATGGGCGATATCGGCATTTTTGAGGGGATGTTTGGTTCCACCAATAGGGACATGAGGGCAATGCTGGTGGAAAGTGAGATACTATGATAGTAATAAAATTATGATAAAATCGTTAGGCGAAGCCCGAAGATAAAAAATGAATCTATAGCAAGTCTAACGTTAGACGTGTTTTCAACCTTGGTTTGCTGCTGCTGCTGAGGGTTGTTAAATCGTCTGTAACTATCTTCAAAGCGGTCTATTTCTTAGCAAATTATTTCTACTTGTCGCTATAAAATATGAGATGACCTTTCTCCTGCAAAACAGCGAATGAACATTGAACAATACAGGTCAGGTAGGTACTATCATTAATAGTTAAAATGAAGGATCAGTATGCGTTGTTAGGACTGGGAGTTCCCCTCAGTGTTCCAAAATTGTATTTTGGCTTGGGTGGTCAAAGGAAAATTCCTAGGGGGCCGGGAACAATTTTCAAGGTGGGGGGGGGGGGGTGAGCATATAAAATACCTGACATGATGCATGTGAAACGGTGGCGTAGCTAGGGGTCTAAGGGGACACGTACCCCACCTCCCCATCGGGTTCAAAGGGAGCCTCGCTCGGGTCCGAGGGGCCCTGCGGCGCCATTTGACCAATGGGGGTTAACAATGGCCATATAGAAGGGCCCCATGGGGCTCGTTAGAGCTCCTCATGGACCCTAATTGCCACACTAAGATCTCTTTCAGGGCCCTACGCCGGATTCTGAGGGCCTCCTGGGCCTTTATAAGGGCTCTTCAGTGGTCTCCCAAGGCCCGTTACTGGCCTCTGAAAGTTCTTACCGGCCTATGAGGGCCCAGTTCTAGGGGCATTTCCTGCCTGTGATGGTCCCACAATTATTTTTCTGATGGCCCTATAACGGCAACTGTGGGGGCCCTAGTCGGCGCCTATGAGGGCCCATACCGGTGTCTGAGGGTTTCACATCCCCAACTCTTGAGTGCCTACACTAGTGCCTATTAATACCCTATATCGGCGACTCTGAGAGCGAGGACCCTAATCCCTACCCTACCCAATACCTGCGCATCTATAGGCCACCCACTGGTGACTTCTGAGGGCCCCACACCGGTCCGGTGACTCTCAGGGCCCCACCGGCGTATGATAGTACCATGCCGGTCTCTAAGGACCCCACAGAACTTCTTCTGCTGGCCTAAGGGCCTCTTGCCGGTCACTGAGAACCCCCTGCCGGCTTGTAGAGGGTTCGCGTCAGCAGCTCAGGCCCCACACCCGTCTGTAACGGCTCCACACCAGCGTCTATGAGGGCCCACAGCAACGCCTGTAAGGACCCTCACCGGCGCCTCTGAGAGAATCATACTGGCACCTCTGAGCGCCCACACCGGCACCTGCATGACATTCCCGCACCAGTGCCTCTAAAGGCCCCTTACCGGCGGCTCTGAGGGCCCTCCGCCGGTGATTCTGAGGGTGCTAACGATAACCGAAGACACCACAAGCCCTTAGTGTCGCTGAGCTTTTAATCCCATACCGGCCTTCCAAGGACGCCACGTAAGTGCACTCATTGCCCCACACCCCTCCTTTACACCCGGAGCGGGTAACCTGTGTTATACCTGTAGCAACGATTTTACCACCGTTGTACGTTAGGTATTTCTAAGGTTGACTCAAAATGGTCCAGTATAAAAGCTGGCCTGCCAAACTTATGGCCAAGGCCAGGCCCAAACAAAAGCGGGATGACAACGGCAGATGTCAAATCGATACTGTAACAGCAGAAACCATTCAGATGGCAAGGAAAATGCCGGGTGTTGATGTTTAGATGTATAAAGGAAACAAGAGGAAGTCCGGAAAAGGGAGGAAAGATCCTTTCTCGCTGCCTCAATGTTGAGGGGGCGCCGTCCCCTCGGCTCTCAGGTGGGGGGGGGGGGGCAAGCGCCCCCGCTGCCCACCTGTTTCCCGGGTCTATGAAAATTACTCACCAAATAAGGGATAAGGGTGGAAAATTGATGGCCAGATAAGGCCTAAAAGACTGGAAAAATAATGTACAGCAAAATTTAATACAAGGCTGGTATATGTGGGAAGTAAAATGGCTATCGATCCATGCAAATGCTTTTTGTTGGTAAAGTTGTGAGTGAAAAATGGGCTATTAAAAAATGGAGGCGAGTGAAAAATGATTTTCATTTGGATGTCGTTTCGCACCTAAATCAACAAAGTTTGGGGCACTGGTACGGGGTACCCCTCGCCGGCATCAGTTGACGTCACTCAGGACCTGCCTATGGTTGGTTGGTGGGTGAGTTACTGTACCTTCTATGGGTGACATTGAGCCAGCTCGGCGTTTGGAGGCAGTAAGCACCTCCTAAACGTGTCGAGCTAGGAAGCAGCGGCAACCTTTATACCCATATTGGCCTGTTTACAGCGTAGGGGCTGTCTATATGCTGGTCATTTGGTCCCTGATCAATCCGGATCTTCGCGGAAAGGCAAGCTTGTTGCCCGTGGCGGGTGATGCGGATGCTATCAGATTTCAAAAGCGGGTATTTTTGGTATTCAGGTCGGGTAATTGCCCTAGACATTCGGAGAATCTTGGGATGCCCAATTCTGCAAGTCCTGGGTGAAGCTCGCTAGTCTACCCGGGGGGTGTCCCCTTCTACAACGACCCCGGGGCAGCTCACTAGTCTGCCCGGGGGGTGTCCCCTTCTACAACGACCCCGGGGCAGCTCACTAGTCTGCCCGGGGGTGTCCCCTTCTACAACGACCCCGGGGCAGCTCGCTAGTCTGCCCGGGGGTGTCTCCTTCTACAACGACCCCGGGGCAGCTCGCTAGTCTGCCCGGGGGGGGGTGTCCCCTTCTACAACGACCCCGGGGCAGCTCGCTAGTATGCCCGGGGGTATCCCCTTCTACAACGACCCCGAGGCAGCTCGCTAGTCTGCCCGGGGGTGTCCTCTCCTGCAACGGCCTCGGGGCAGCTCGCTAGTCTGCCCGGGGGTGTCCCTTTCTACAACGACCCCGGGGCAGCTCGCTAGTCTGCCCCAGGGTGTCCCCTTCTACAACGACCCCGGGGCAGCTCGCTAGTCTGTCCGGGGGTTTCCCCTTTTACAACGGCCTCGGGGCAGCCCGCTAGTCTGCCCGGGGGTGTCCCTTCTACACGGCCTCTGGGCAGCTCGCTAGTCTGCCCGCGGGCGTCCCCTCCTACAACAGCCTGATTCCTGGAGCGGGCTGAGAGCCCTCCCCTTTTTTGCTGGGCGGCTGTCAACGACCTTCGTTGATGCTGTTCTAACCCCTTCCAAAGTTATGGGAAATTTAATGGTCGCGCTGAAAGGCATGTGCATAGGGTTCAAGGTAAAGGAGAATACAGCTTCTGTTGTCAGATGCCTCAGAACTCATGGATGGTTGTTTTTTCGGCGGGTATATCGAGGGCCTTTACTTGGTGGAGGCTATCATCGCAGTAGTGGCTAATGCTACTGGTTGTTAGTCCTGTGAGGGCTTCGGTATAAATGCCGTAATATTGCTCTTCATTGGTGACCGCCGTATCGCTCACATTCATGTTGGCAGGTTTAAGGGATCGTGGCGTTTCTGGTAAGCTTCGGGCCAGGTTGAGGAACTAATTACCTTCCTTCAACCAAGCACGTATTTGGGTGGGTTCCGCCACTGGTCTCGACACTGGCTGCGACTGTAGGTCTTTTGTGTTAATTTGTATCCCCCATTCGGTCTGCTGGTTTCGGGAAGGGGGTGTTTTATTATGGCGCATTGGTGTCTGGGTGGATGTATTGAATGGGTGGGGACACCATTGCGCCGCGCGGGGGGAGGGGTGGCGGCCCGTTGGCAGGGCAGTCTCGGTTGAGACTTGTATACTTGCTAGTGTGTTTGTGTCGTGTTCATTTGGGCTGAATATACCAATAGCCCCTTTTTGTACAGCTACAGTGTTTTCCTGGAGGGGCTTGGTTGTGAGGTTTGCGCTGAGATTGGTTACGCATAGCATAGCTAATTGTCTCTGTTTGCTGGCAGCTCGAAGGGGAAGCGGAAAATACGCCCGGTTATATATGACAAGATATAACCGGTTTTTCCGCGACACAACGAGCGTCTTCTTTGGGGCGGCCCCGGAGCCGGGCCGGCCTCTGCGAGCAGCGTTCGGCGGCAGGCGGGCGGCCGCCTCCGCCCCCGGGCGGCAAGGCCGCTAAGGCGGCGGCCTCATCTGATTGGTGGAGCGACTTGTGTCACGTGACGGTGACGGCGCGGGGTTTGAGTGCATTTGCGCGGTCACTCTGTTCTAAGCCGCCCGGTCTGACGCAAGTCAGCAGTGTTCTCGCTCTGAAATGTTTTTGCGTTTCCCACCCACCCACCACCATTTTTGGGGCTTTTTTTTTACACGCACCACACTCTTAAATAAAGATGGGTTTTTTCCACAAAATGTGGTTTTTCCCCAGCTAGGTCCCCCGGTTTTTTTCTAGTTAGGACTTTTTCCGGGGGAGGACACACACGACAGGGTTTCTAGTTTGGGTGGGGACACCATTGCGCCGCGCGGGGGGAGGGGTGGCGGCCCGTTGGCAGGGCAGTCTCGGTTGAGACTTGTATACTTGCTAGTGTGTTTGTGTCGTGTTCATTTGGGCTGAATATACCAATAGCCCCTTTTTGTACAGCTACAGTGTTTTCCTGGAGGGGCTTGGTTGTGAGGTTTGCGCTGAGATTGGTTACGCATAGCATAGCTAATTGTCTCTGTTTGCTGGCAGCTCGAAGGGGAAGCGGAAAATAAATATAAAGACACGATACTCTCAGAATGTGCCTAATCATTACGGGTGCAAATGATAACAAAAATAATGCCACCAACACTACAAACTAAGGGGCATTCCACGTCAAGTGAGACAAAAAATGACCATTTTGAACCTCACCTCCTCCGATTTTTGCGATACTTTGTGAAACTACTCATCTATATGTGAAAAGAAAGGAGACATGTTTTTGTCAAGATATGACGTCACGTTTCCGAGATACACGTCATCAAACATTGACTTAGGCAAGGCACATTATCATCTATAAAGCGTCATAACCGTTGAAGTTTTAGACATATCACCATGAGACAAAGTGTGAAATGGAGGGAATAGATCAGGCTTTAATTTGTGGATAACAATATTGACCTAATTAGCTAATTAATGAACTAAATTAAAATTCAAAACATAAATTTTGATTTTCTGAAAAATGGGTACCCTTCGATTTTGCTGATTTTTACATATTTCATCCTCCCATACATTAGCTACATCATATAAAAAATCCAGAATGGGCCGACGTCTACGTAACTGCCTTTTGGACTTCGGAATGTCTGGCACTCGCGAGTTTCGTTTTAGCAACCAAGGAGAGGCGCTACCCGGAGATGCTTCTTTCTGCCCCAAACCAAAGCAAACCTAGCCTGACTTGACGTGACCTGACCTAATCTAACATGCGTAAATATGTACAGCCCTCACGGCAGTTGCCGACTGGCCAAATGCTACTTAGATACGAACATTATCCCTCACGACATTTGCCGGCTGGCCAGATGCTACTTAAAAAACGAATGCGTGTTTAAACACTTGAGGCTAACCGGCCACGAGCCAGCCACCTTTAGATTACGAGGTGGGTACACTCGGCACACTAACTACTAAGCCACGGAGATAGCTGGTCATCGCGGAGATGTAAGCCAGTCTTTTAATGATGCAATTGGGCATTCTCCGGGCAGCGCCTCTCTTTGGTTGCAAAAAGGAAATACGCCTGACTCTCCCAGCGCTAGGGGAGAAAGGCCCGGTTTAGCCAAAAAAGGTATAAAAAAACGGAATTTGAATTGTAGGTGGGGCGGTGGGGAATTCTATCGTGTGCCAATTTCATGGCCCTAGATCAATATCTTCAAGATCAAATGAGGTTAATCGTGATGAAATTTGATATGGTGACTATTTTGCGTTTATACGCCCATAGCTCTAAAAGTTACTGGCCGATTTTCCTATTTCTTCCTTTTTACGACATTTGTAGTGTTATGAGAATCTTTAGATAATCTAACAATAAATTTGGCTGTTAGTGGCCTGCTAAGAGTAAGATGTCGCCGGCAAAGGCGCGGGGATCGGCCGACGCGGGAAACGTTTCAGTCACAGATTGTGTTTGCACCCTAATAATTCATTTTTTACCAGTCGGTTTTCGTATTTATTTGACCATTAGTTTGCCTGTACATTTTTAAGCCTTCACACAAAATTTGACACGAATCGATCATAATCAGCGGTAAGAAGCGCAGTGCAAAGATGGAACCGTCCGGCGCCGGCACAGTCTACCATTCAGGCGGCAACGGCCGACGCCGGCCGCCGCGCCGCTCCGGCAAGATGTTTGACTTTACACCGCTACTACTAGAAAAGTTGTGGACCGATTTACCTATTGCTTGCACAGGAGGATTTGCAATTCAATTCTGGACAGATGCTGAAAGTTTGGCGTTAATATAATAGTTATGGCGCGAGTTATTGGCGAAAAACAGGTGGGGTTGGCGAAATCCGCCCCTTCCATCGCCCGTGCTACGTTGCACTACTTGTTGCTATATCATCCAAAGTTATCGTTGGCCCACTCTAATTTTCTCAGCACGTATGCCTTACGTGTGGTGGAAGATAATGTCCAAATTTGAGCAAAATCGAAGGGTACCCATTTTTCACAAATTAGATTTTAAGAAATTAATTCAAAATAAAATAAATTCAAAATCACCAAAAAATGTTAAAATTACCAAATTTAACTAGCATAACTCCTCGTGTTCACGTTTCCGTTTGTTTGAAATTAATAGCTTCAAAAATGTTGAAGCTATAGATCTTTCAAGATTGCAATACACGTCTAATTCTGCTAAAAAAGCAGAAGTTTAGCGGCTTGTATCTCTGTAGCCCGAGGGCATATGACAAAATCCTTTGACCCTCAGAGGTTTCACCCAACAGCCAACAAGTATACCAAGTTTGAACAAAATCGCAGAGGTGGCCGATTTTGGCTGTCCCGGTTGACATGGAATGCCCCCTAAGAGATACTGAATCACAAGTGTGACAAGAGCAGGACCAAGCAGGACCTAGTTATTAAAAAGGGCTGAAGCTGAGATGAGTTGGCTCACCGGCAGATAGCGCAGCCACGACGCGCATCCATAGCTGTGAACATGACAATGGTGGAGTAGTTCCGAGGGCCACCTCGCACCAGTGACTTGAATCGTTCTGTGTCCAGACTGATGACATGACTGCGGTAGCTGAGGTCACTCATCTGCTGCCACCTGTCAGCTAGGGATAGCTGAGGGCAAGAATGGGCGACATTGAAACAAACAGAAAAGGGGCAAAAAAATTATGCTTTGCAAAATTCTCAGTGACAATGACATTATTTTTATTTGAGGTTGGTTAGATGCAGTTTGGCAATGTCCCAGTGACGATGACATTATTTTTATTTGAGGTTGGATAGATGCAGTTTGGCAATGTCTCAAGGTGCCAGCATATGTATAACAAGTGAGAACATGGTTATTATAGGCTATCCTCATAATCCTAAAAATTATAGGCTAAAAACTCACCTCTTTCTTCCGCACTTGTTCAGACAGAGAAACCAGCATAAAAAGGCAAAATACTATTGATGGAAGTGTCCTCATTTTAATCTTTTCAGTTGAGCTTGTATTCTTCACTCTAAAAAAAATATATCCTGCAATAGGTCACCAACACAACAGGGTGAGTGTGGATTTGATTTCAGCCAGTCAAAAATGTGACTTCAAGTTTGAAAACAGGACGGCAATACGATGAGTGGGAATACGGAAATAACGTAGCCTTCGACACTAGGATCCGCGTGATTTCTCGAATATTTTGCAGATAAAATCCATATAATAATAAATTAGAAATAACAACCGAAATACAACCACCTCCACCGTTTATTTGCCGGCTAGCTAAACGTGGCAACGAAAATAACAAAAGATTGCTATGCTATTGGAACTTATTATGACGTAAAAATAGTGTTTTGAATTTTCTATTCTTTTGGATATACAAAAACACATATTTTTGAAGTTCTATCGAAGCAATTTGATTAATTATTTAAAAATTGCCAATTTTTGAAATTTGAAAAGCTCTATATAGTATATACCGTTAGCACTGTCATAATATGATGTCATAATATTGCAATACTCTTCCCGACATTCGCGTGGCATTCGCTAGTATCCTAGCAACGTGCCTCCATAGAGTTGGGCCTTGGTAACAACTGGATTTCCATTACGTCATGGGTGATGATGTCACACTACGGGTGACGTTTCACTGCTGCTGCTGCTGTCCACGGAGGGCAGCGTTTGTGAGTGGAAAACAGTAGCAAAATTGTAAATGAAGGCAGTATTGGCGCTTATGCTACATATGAAATTTATAACAACATATGATATTAGTGAATGTTTATTTTTGTTACTTTTCATAAACCCTCCATTCCAGGGTCTGCATGGAAAAGTTCTGTTATTTTAGAGTCAAGCTATTGTACTAAGGGATTTATTTTGGCAATTTAGTCATTTGTGAGGTTATAAGGCTGCAGAAACTTTAAGTAGAGGTTGGTATCCACTATCCAGTTGCAGCTATAATTGTGTCATATTTTGTATCATTTTCTGAACATGTAAACACCTACCTATATGAATTCAAATATTGTGATTGTAGGAAAGCAGTCACCCTCACATTGCAGCGGGGATTAGAACAATTAACCACACTTGTTATACAAAAAGCCTGTTTGCCATCAATTTTAGGAATTCAAATTAGGTATTGGTAAGGTAGGTGTAGCACAAGCTGCCTGATGCACGAGAATGGGTCTTTCTAACCAAACCTTACCTAACCTGACCTACAACCTACAGCCTTAAACCTAAAATTTACAACCTACGACCTAGTCCTACGGTATGGCATATCACAACAGCTTGTGTTACGTCTGCTACCGTGACCCAACTTTGTTCCAATTCATACCAACTTGGGATGACAGTCACTGCAGATGTGTGCTGACCATGCAGGTCTTTGTTACAATTGCAATTCTATTGTGTTACAGGTTCGGCGTTCTACAGCTGCGACCCGCCATAGCTGGGCCACCGCGGCGGCATCACCTTCAGGGTGGACCTGCCCGTGGTCACCCACTGGTCGGACCCGCCTGCAGTCCGCAGGGAAGCTGCCCTGTGAGCCATTGCAGAGCTCCCGCACCCGGACGTCACTCTGGTCGGACGGCTCGGCTCACGGCGGGACAGAACAGGGCGGTGCAGGCGCTGATCCAGTTCCACCACCTCAACATAGAAGAGACCGTGCGCGCTCCTGCAGGGGCGGTCTGCTCCAGCCTGAGAGCAGAACTGACCGCCATGCGCGAGGCGTTCGCGGCTGTGGCCGGCCTGGAGGACGGGGAGTTGGCATCGACCAAGTCGGTCCGCCTCCTCACCGACTCAAGGTCTGGGCTCCAACTACTCGGCCGCGGCCCAGCTAACCAGACCATGGCCCTGGCCGCCGAGGTGTGGAGGCTGCTGAGTGCTGAGCACCCTCGCCGAGAACGGCACCGAGACGGTGCTCCAGTGGGTGCCAGGCCATGCCGGGCTGGACGGCAACAAAACCGCCGACCGCCTGGCTGGCGAGGCCACGGCGGGCGACCAAGACAGCGCACCGATCGACCTGTCGAGTGCGCGGGCCGCCGTCACGCGCCATGTCCGGGAGCTGTCGCGACAGAGGGCAACCGCTGCCCACCCGCACCCGGACCCCACGCCTGGCCACGACTCCCTGGCGCGCTGGGGGTCGGTGACGCTGTCCCAGCTGAGGACCGGCACATCACCGCTGACCCGTGACACGCTCCACAAGATTGGCCCGGCAGCCAACGACGAATGCCCCGCGTGCGTGGAGCCCGACAGCGCGGCGCACCTACTGACCGATTGTCCGGCCTATGAGGCGGCCCGCCGCCGCCGCTGGGGTGTCGACCCTCGCCTGGTCGACGTCCTCGGCGGCCCGGCGACGAAGGTCGTCACCTTCATCGAGGATGTTGGGCGGGCCGAGCCGCCGCTCGACCCGCCGCCCCCCTGAGCGGGTTGGCGGTGGGATGCAGAAGAAGAAGAAGAAGCAACTGCCAGCGCGCCACGGCGGCGAAGCCGAGTTCCGCCGCTGGACCGCCCGCGCAATGGCCAGCACAGACAAGAGACAACCGAATCACAACACCTACAATTACGTTATTGTTATGGTATTGACATTGTTACAATTAACCCTGCTCTTTCGAGCGTGGATGCACGCTGAAATTGTCGCATAATTCCATGCAGCTTCCACCCTTCTGCAATACAAAGTTTGAATACAAAGTAGTCTTGCAATAGGTTTAGAACTTATGTGCAGATTGTCGATGCTGGTTGACTTGATGGTTGGAATTGTGTTTATCTGTTTCATCTGTTTTGACTTAAATATATGTCCATGGACACTATGGCCTACCTTGGGATGTGTCTCTGATTTCAGCAAAACATTTTTCATCAGGGTACACTGCAGTGTACATACGTAGTGAAACTTTTGAGCATGTATGGGTGCGCATGTGGAGATGTAGACTGCGAATGAGACAGACTACGACGGTTTTTGAACTAATTTAATCTGATTGACAACATAATGTAGGACTAAAGACTGACTGTCAGAAGAATATTCAAAGAATATTCACTTCACCCGGTACAACGAAAAGGGAAAGTCGGGGAACAGAGAACATCTCGAAGATCGAATTGCAGTTGCCGCCTGCAGGTGCCGATTGGTTATGGATCATCGCAGCTCAACCATGCAGCAGTGCATGGCAGCGCAGCGCCCTGCAGCTCGGGGCCGTGAACCGCCGCCTTGACAAAGTGTCTGCAACCCGCGACCTCGAGACCGGCTCGCCATCTGGCGGGGTGTGCCGAGCGCCACCTGGAGCAACTGCCAGCGCGACTCAAGGTACTGCCATGTGCTGCTTTATTGTTAACTGAAATTGCTACCACCTTGTATTGTAAGAGTCATTATGGAAGATTTTAAAACGGTTCTTAAAATTTTTTGAATACTTTAAATTTATATTTCTGCAGAATTATGAACCCGTATCATTCTTTACATGTCAATATTTGTATATTATCTAGCATATAAGAAAATAGTGGCCTCAAGTTTCTAGAAAATATCTGATTTTGCTCTCTGGGCCATTGCAGATCCCTAAAAAGTTAGGAGCCGTCTTCATTATTTAATGTATAAAACCAAATAAATTATCACTGCTCAAAAGTGGAAGAAATGACAAATGAAAAAAAAGTTTTCCTACAGCGTTGCAATCCAGATTCTGAGATAGTGATGGGCATACTAGAAAGCAAGTAAAAGGTATTGTAAAAGTACTCCACAAGGTAAAAGTAAGGAACAAGAATATCCTTATACTGTTTCAGAATTTGGTAACAAACATTTTTTATGTGTTTTAAATACCCGAACGAATTGATTCCAGAATCAGTCTTGATGATATTATATGGTTTTTGTATGGTATTGGTGGTACTTGAATGACCAGAGTCAGTACATGTCCATCACCTTTCGATATTTCCGTGGTGCTCGCTCCCATTTCATAGCTGCTCACGGTGTTTTCTGCTGACGTCATATGGTGCTGCTCCACTAGCGCCACCATACGGCGTCAGCTGGCGAATTATCCAGTTAATACCAGAGCCCATAGAGTTCAGTGCTCATGGCTCAAAATTCGCTTGCATCAAAAGTGTCAGATTTAGTAATTACATTTTTTTTAATTACGTTTTTAATTACGCTATAATAATAATCAGATGCAGACTCGGGTGCTGTTACCAGCCTGCGTATTTTGAATTCACCATAGGGCTCAGCCATTCCTAGAGGAATTCTAGGCACCTTGGAAAAAAGCGAAATCGCGCTAGGGATTTCAGCCGATCTGGCAGCTCTTCCGATGCCACTGGCGCGCCTTTTAATCCAAAGCGCCTTTTTCGTGTCTCATGTTTGCTCGTTTATTGCGGAGGCCTATATATGCTTCAAGATGCTGGAAAAGGTTGGTGATTAATAAGTATTTCCATTTTAGGTGCATGTTCTTTGCAAGAAATACAGTTGTTGTTGCTGTTGTTGTGGGTTAGGGCGCAAGAAATACAGGTATATGTCAAGTTTAGGTCCTAACTATAACTGTGACGCTGTTGATACAAATCTGTAACAGCAAAAAAATTATGTTTTAGGTTACGTTAGGCTGTAAGTTTTAGGTTGCATTGTAGGTTTGTAGGTAGTAGATTGGTAGGTTATAGGTGAAAAGGTAAGGTTAGTTCAGGTTTGATTATGTTTTTCTTTTAGTTACGAGACATATAAGTATCATTTTTGGATTCAGGATGTCAAATAATGGTCGGAAACACTAAATTCAAAATTAACTAATTTTGAAGCGGGGACCTCCATGTGTACCGGCCAAATAATGTAAGAATATGAAAAAATTATCCATGAAATCTGCTTAGGACTTAAACTTGACATTTACCCACATGGCTATAGGTATCACCAGCAGAATTATAATCTTTACATAGGTAATTTTTAAGAAATGCTGTAAGTGAAGATTATGAGTCGTGTAACCATTGTTACTATATTGATATTAAATATTGAATAGGTACAAGTCCGCCACTAACTTTATGGAACATTCCTTCTTCCAACAGGATCACTTCCAAGTAATCTGGAAGGCTGATGCCAAGTACATCTTGTGCGAGAAGCTTGATATGATTCCTGACCTGGAACCGGTGAGCATCAAATATAGCAATTTGCTTAAAGCAATAGCAATTGCCGATGATGGCAATTTCAATTTGCAGTAACACATATTATATGTAATTGGTTTGAGCCATGTTGCAATCATTTCATGAATGAAAACTTCCATTTTTAAAATGGAACTATCAACTTTCCCCACAGGCTTCGGTAACAAAGTTTTATCAATTGTGAATGACAATATTATTGGTATGA